TATAGTAGCTGCAGTCAATCTATCAACTACCACTTTCCTCTTAAAATGTGATCATGTTGGCCCAAAAACACATGGTTTAGACTTCTGGGGAGGGGAACTTTGGATCTTTTGCCCATCCCACACACTGAGTCCAAGGGGAAATCAATGTGCACCAGAGTGACCCAAAAAAGTTTTATAGGCCAAAGGAGGGGCCCAAGGAGCCCATTTCAGAGGTCAGTCCACCCAACCGTAGCTAAGTGACAGGCTCAGGACGGCCTAGTTTAATTTGAAGACTAACAGCACCTTCCCGATGGTAAAAAGGCAGTCTCCTTTTTAGCAAATAGGGGTAATTTTATCACTCTCTAAGTGAGATCTAAGAAAGGAAGTAGGAAAGAGAGGTGCTCTAAAATTTCTTTCCATATTTCTCAAGACCGTAGAATACAAAGTCATTTTTGTTATTGGGTAACAATTTCCGCTAACTTGGGTGCTAGGGAAGAAAGTAAGTGACATTTTAGGCGCCTAGATGGCGATTCGGAGGGAATATAAGTTGGCTTCTGTGTTTTTGGTTATGATGACACTTTTTTTTCTTCTTTCGTATTTTCACTGGGCAGGGCGACCTTTAGAGCCGTGCCACCGGCTCCACGGAAGACTCAGAGCGCTGCACTTGTACCAAGTCATTGCCCTAAGCTTTTAGGCTTAACTGCAAATACAAACTCCGACAGGGGCATTGAGGTGAGGAAAAATTAAAAGATAATTACCCTTTTCGACTTTGGATTAAAGAACCACCCTTTTATTGCATTGAGGTAAATGCGACTGTTTTATCGAGGATTAGAAAGTGGATCTAATTAAAACCACTTTGTTGTTTATGTGTTGTGGGCGTACTCGTCTTAAATAATTGAACGCGGGTGATGCTCCACTCCCCTTCCTCCCTCTAAAATAGAAGTCAGTATCGCGGTTGAGTGTGTGTCTCTGGTTGGTGACTTTTTTTAAGGAATTAAATTACACAAGTCATTAAGGCCAAGTCTGTTTGGTTCTAAGCCTTATTCTCTCTCTTTATCTCCCTTGCTCTCACTCTCACGCCCCACCATTGCTACTGCCTCATTGCATGATCGGAGGGCATAAATCCCACCACAAAAATAGTCCAATAACAATGTTTTATCTTAATTCCAATTTTGGGTGTTTGCAACATTTGTATCGTTTCGTTATTCCAAACCCAGAATCCAACATCGTTGAAATTAGCGCTCAAGGTTGCTAGTGGGAAAAAAAGTTGTGCTTCTTTTTCGAATGTGATCATATGGAAGTGGCTGGACTCTTTTGCCTCAATCATGTGTTAGGGACTAAGTCCCACTTGAGCGATTAATTCTGTGCCAAAGGTGGGAGGAAAACGGTATTTTAATGCGGACGTAGAGGTATTTAGATAAATAATTTTTTGTCACATGCGGTACTACCTGTACAATGTGATTTTTCGAAATCTGATTGGTTGGTTAAAAGAAATGCTTTTAATAATTTAATCGAAAACCTTATTCGGGTGTATGAAAATTTTAATTTCTCCAAAATTGATTTGATATCTTAGTTCTTTGGACGCCTAACTTATATAGAGATTTCTTATAGAGAAGTCTTTAAAAAAGGTGGTTTTTGCACCGCTCCTATTCCGATTCCTAGTCTTTCTACTCCTCTCACCGACCTCACTGCTTTAATATTCAAGTCTAAGTAGAAAGGATGTTTGTTAAAATTTCTTTTTCAGTAATGCATGGGCCTACATCTTCGTTGTTTAATCTTTTCCAGGCGGCATGACCTTTGAGTCCTTTCTGCAGCCTTCCTGCGCCTCGGAACGCTTATAAACACATTTTCCACAGGCGTAAGGAAGTTTTGGACTTCTGAAATGATGGAAGTGACAAACCGATCATAACATAATGAGGACTACACCGATATCACTTGCTCACAACCCAACTTCAGCTTGATAAAAGAAGATTACGTGCTAGTGACAGGAGAAGTGGTGGTTACCTTTAGCAGGAAGGTTTAAACAGCTCCTATCTTCAGCGCCTACTCAAATTGTGTCTTGCGGAATTATCATGTGTTATTAATGAATGTTAGCCATAAACAGTCCTGAAAGGTTTGTTGCGGAGCTGTCAACGGTGTCTGTGTGGGGTGGATGATCACGAAATACTTCCATAATCTTCCTACCACTTGTACAGAATTCATATATCCGTGGCTGTACTGCTCAGAAGGGAATATAAAGTAGAGAGGAGAAATAGAGGCGAAGTATTGTCTCAAAGAAGCTCTTTTAAGTCTAGTCTGACTTTAAGTGCCTTCAGTTTTAGTCTTGGTGCTCTTACGACTAGCGATAAACACGCTTGATGGCCAACACACTCCCTTTTTCTCCAAAATAGGTCCCATCATGACGATTCTCCTAGTCTAGTAGAATTGTTAGGGGGTATTATTGATGTTGCTACTGAACATCATCAAACACGCACGCAAATCCGATGATTGGCACGGTTGACTTTGGGGTGTTTTGCCTGGCAGCACGTACTGCCTTGTGATGAGTGACGCTAGAGGTTAACCGAGGGGAGCGCCAGACACAATGTACAAAGGTAGAGAGGGCTAGGTAATGCGTTAAACGCTTGTTTGGCTCTGCATTCTGTTTATACCATCACTTCAGACTTTGCCTTTGCGCTTCTGCTGGGCAGCATGGCCTCTAGGACATGCCATTATTTCCCCATCCCGCCACCCCAGTCCTTTTAATGTCGCTGATGCAATTTTGCCCTTGCATGGCGTCCACTTTCAACTTTAGGCAAAAACATGGGGCTATACGAGAACAAACTGCATGTCTGGTTAAGGGTGTTTGTAGTGAAGTAACTGTTCGAGGTTTCTGTAAGTTGATTACCCACCCACTCATTGTCAATAATATTCATGGGCGAAAATTTATACCGAATATGTGGCTTATTAAGCATTGTTTGTTGAGTAGACTAAAATTTTGCAATTTTTTAACAACACGAAATGCAGCCAGATCAAACTTAGTGGAATAGTAATTAATGCCTTTAATATGGTTCACAGCTGTGCCTGTTGAGCAGACCTTACACGCAATCGGGTGGATCCAGGTAGATAAAGCAGATTGTCGGATTTTTTGTTTACTGAGTGATTGAATGCTAGCAATTTTCCTGACAGGTATCTACTAGTGCAATATCCCTCCCTACTTTAATTACTAAAGCCAGAATTGTGTGGGGATTGGGAAAGGAGATGCAGGTTCCTCGTGGGATTTGAATATCATTTCCATTTTGTATTAGCCCATCAAAAAATAGCCTTGTACGGATTTCCTACAATCTGACGTTGGCCTTAGCCTTAGCCTTATAAATGGATCTAATGTATTTAGAGCATCTCAACCCCTAAAATGTTGTTACAGGAATGCGCCGCTACTTATTTTGGATTTCAGTAGGGTCCGAAGACTTAACAAATTTGGATGTGTGTTGAATTTAGTAAGATTAATTTTAGCCAGAGTTGCTGCACACAAAAGGTGGTTTTTAGCTAAAATCGGCGCACTGAATTTGGAGAAGGTGTCAAGGTTATCCTTTTAAGCAACGATGTAGTGAATATTTTAAATTTGCTCTAAATTGAAGCATCTTATAAACTTCCTAATTGTTCTGTACTTTTCTACGTTCTCTTCTCATCCACAAAGTTCACTGTTAAATACGCGTAAAACGATGGAGTGGCTGGCTTTCTGATTAATAAGCTTGCTACTTCACCTTTGTGTAATTTAAAGGTTAATGGGATTTTAAGGGAACGTGTTTTAAATGATGCATTCACGCCAAACTGCGACTCCGATGGTAATATGAAGATGAATAAATTCCCAAAAGTGCTATTGGAATATAAATCCTCGGTGTAACTCTTTCCATAGGCTTTAAAATTGTTTTCTTTAGGTAAATCAATGTCTGGAAGACTGATAACTATAAAGGGAGGTTAACACGCTAATAACCGGAGGATTTTTTTCAACGGAGTCCCGTTTGGCTTTACTCGCATCCCGGAGTAACCTCTTAAAAGGTGGGCAAAACAATTTTTCAATATATTTTCAGCTCTGTGGCACTTCATTCCATGAAAGAAAAAACAATAGATTGCTATGGCTGTGCGCGAAGAGCTGCGATGGTAACTGCAGCGATCGCTCTGGATCACCTGCATTACTCTCACTACCTCAGGCCGATTAACTGAGTGTCTTGATGCCATAGAACACTTAAATTCAACCAGAGTTAGGAGGCTTAAGGCGTGCGCTGATCGCCAGAACTGAGGGCACTCTTGACAATATATGGTGGAACACATTATGTCACTCACTCCCCTCTCCTTTGAATTATCCCACAACCAACTATCCCACTTCTACTCAACCACACCTGTACGTAATTACAGCGCAAAAGCTTTTTTATACATTTTCTTTCACTTTATGTGCCAGCGGTAAGATCAAAGGCGTGCTTTCGAAAGAATTTTGCGTTTCCGTTTCCCTCACCAAACAAAAAAAAATTGTCACAGGTTTTAGAGATAATGCTGAACTTTAATACCTGCCAAATGACTTCTTGAAGGACCTCCTTTTAATGGGGGAAAGACTTGGCGTGGCCCCGTGGTGGATTGGCATAACCTTTGTGAGTTTTTGCTTTGTATTTTTGACTCCCTTCCATAAGACGTGTCCCCGCCCTGACGACGGACATTCACGATCACAGGTATCAGGAGCCTCATTTCCTGACCTCGTAAAACTTTAAAGTCATCCGAGACTGACTTAAGGAAAAGATTGCTTTCATCTCCGTTATTCCACTGTTCAAAAATAATTTTGCCCAACTCCTAGTTGTACTACTTAGAGAAGGCCTTGCCCTGTGGCTCGCCTTACCAATAGAAACATTATTAACTGGCAATGAGAAAATTTTGGTGAAATTTGTTGTCTTTTTTATTCAAAGTCACTTAACAGTGCTCCCTGTAAGGAATGTAAACAATGCACTTTTTACTCATGGCTTCTTTGAAAACCGTTAGAACTTTAAATGCCTCCGTCAATTTACCAACGCTGTTTGTCGAGGTATCCCAAAGTCAGTAAATCTTTCCAACTTCAGGAGCACTGGTTCTGGTTGAAGTGGCTCCTTTCTGTAGCTATTTTTATGGTCAATAATGATGTTCTTGAGAAGCCATTGAGGTAGGGAATTTTGGCAACAAACAATAGCGTTCTGTGTGGGTCCATCAATGAAAAAGTGACGCACAAGATTGCCGCGGTAGAGGAACTTTTTCTCCCCAATTCGAATTTCACAACCTGTACGACTCTCAACGCTGACCAATTGACCTCCATTTTCTGCCAGACTGCGGGGAAATTTGTCCTTTTCCAAAGGATCCACCAGTAAAAACATGGTGTATCGCCACCATTTCTCTTTTTCAGGCGGAATAGCTCGATCATCCAGTCTTTTTATATCACAAAATGGGGCTCCGACATTACCTCGGGATGATTTAATGCCTGGCCGGCGGGTGACTTTACATCTCTTCCAAGCCTGTTCCAGTCGAGCAAAACCAAGAGCTGTTGCACATACGTAAGGCACGGCTTTAGGGTAGCGCTGCTGCAAGCGGATAACTCCCTTCTTCAGGGTTGTCGTTGGGATATACTTCTTGAGCATTAAAAGAAGATTTTGGGACTCACTTATGAGGTTTGTGGAATGTCGAATACTAATCGGCAAAGGAAGACCATCATCGTCCCAAGGAGGAATCAATTTATTGCCTTTTACAATCGATTTTGATGATGGTGGCTTCACAGCTCGTGTCTCTTCATTTGTAGATTTGGGCTTTCCGTACGAATTTTGACTAACCCGTTCCATTTGTTCATCGCCGCGTTCTTCATGGTCCTCCTCTTTCTTCTTCTTTCTGTAGAGTCCGCAATTCCCCATGGTCGACGTACTCGCCCAAAATAAGTCATTTCAGTTGTCAAAATCAATAACACATGTTTGTTGTTTAAATCAAGTTGTCGAGCGATACGGTTTAAAATGCCGCCTTTACTAGATTGCTTTCTTAATGCTTTAGTCCACTTCCCAGAATAGGCACTAGTGAAGGGGTTTTGTTGACTACAACAGAATGTGTTGGGAGACAAGGAGGCGTGCTAAACATAAATTGTTGCAAGAGTGGAGATAATTACATTTAAGGCTCTGTATTACCCACCAGGTGATCAACTTTCTCAGACGTCGACTATCCTCCACTTCGCTTGACATGTGTACAAAGTGCATAAAAATAGGATTTATGTCCAAAGGGTTTGCATCCGTAAATGAGCCGCTATAGAGGAATGAGAGAGCATTTTTGGTGAAATTTTACGCAACAGCATTACTTGTACATGTTTACACAATTCTTGTGCTGCATTTTCAATTATTCATAAAATCTAGGCTTGTAAAATGCTTGCTTTTCGTGTCTAACAACGTGGGCGTCATCGTTTCACATCTCTTATCGGCTCAGATTCAGTAAACAACTAATCCAATTCTACAGCATACCGTTCTCACTTCCTGTTTCTAAAGTCATTTGATCATATCTATTATTTGTATTTTTTAGATCGACTCAAAAGCGACAACAAGGGGAGATTAGGCACTGCCTGCAACTGGCTCAACCTCTCCGCCACTCAGGGGTACGATGCCACGCCGATTGCTACCATCCACTTCAAAGTCTTTCCTCGACCAACTATTAACCCTCTCATCAAACCTCTCGCTTGTTCCATAATTTGTACGATTTTTTTAACGCTAAGGCTATTTCGAAGACGAAATGCCTAACTGGAACAGGTGAAAAAAAAACACATTCGTTGGATTACTACACTAGGTTAAAAGAATGACAGACACAGATAGTAGTTAAACTATAGAAAACGCCAATTTTGTAACTGGGGGAGTGCGTTTTAAAAGGGGGCAACTAATGGCATGGTGTTATATTTATTTGATACGCAGCGCATTCAAACCTTTTAGCTGTGGAGGTGGAAATAAAAAGGTGAACGGTAGGGATAAAACAGGCGGTTAAACTCAATACTGATTTAAATAGCATGATTAAAAATATTCCAACGCTAAAATTAAGTTGCAATAATCAGTGTTAATTTCTTGGGAGTATGATGTAAACCCATGCCGCAGGCACATTCGCAATTGTCATTGGGAAATGAACGTGCGTGCCAGAATTGATGCGAGGTCTTTTCGGCACCATAAAGTAAGGGAAATTAAAACCTGCTGCAGACGGATTATGGACTGGTCGTAACAAGCATTGATGAGTAACACCAGTGATGGATACAGGTGGGATTATTTAAACAGCTGCCATTGTAATAGTGGCAGAAACGCACAGCTGCCATTTTCCTTCCATCTCGTCATTCCTTCCTCATTCCCTTTCCTTCTGTGCATGATGCGGAATAAAGCTTGTGCAAATAACCCTCTAGTAAAGCCCGAGGTTCAGAGCCTGAAGGTGGCAGGCTGGTTCTACAGGCCAACTTTTCATAGTCACAATCTTGTCATTGGTAGATTCCAAAATGTAGAACACCACAACCGCATAGAAACCTTACGCATGCAAATACGGAAGCTACATTGACACATACACGTGGGCCAGCATAGATGTCAACTCGCACATGATTACATAATAAGCGTACGAAATCGAGCATGTAGTAAATAGTTACTCTATATATGGATGACATTACGACGCCCAATCAAAAGGACGTCCAGTTCAGAATAACTAATTGTTGAAATCATTAAAAAGTTAAAGTCGCATAGAGTGTGTATAAAGTGCGTGAAGGAGAAATTAACCATAAATCGGAGGATTTGCACAATCAAAAAGTATAAATCAATCTCAAAATTAGGAACTTATATAAATTTTTTTGTAATACATTTAGGCTGAAATAAATGCACTTTTGTCAAACAAAGATTGATCTTAAGGCTATATGAAAACTATCACCATTCCACATTTCAGGTCCGAATGTATAAACGTAAGTTCTTCAGATGAATTTAAGAAGGCGTATAAGCTTCAATTTGCGTGTGTACACTGCGATTTAACTTAAAGCAGCGCAGTCGTAGGGCCGTGCATTTGAGTAGGGTTGCTTGTACAAATATCGCTGAAAGTAATGCCATAGTATACTTGTTCTGACGTTTTTGAAATATTTAGCGGTCGTATTTTCTGTTCTTGATTGACTTCACGCTGTAGACGTCGCCTTTGATGTGCTTTAGCATCTCATCTCTAACTTTTATGCATTTTGATAAAGTTCATGTTTTGATACACTTGTTTTGCGATTGCACGCATCATACTGGCCTGTTCATTTTAAACTTAGGATGTCGGAATGCACAGATGATGAAATCGTTATTCAGCTATCTCCATGGGGCGAATTTTTCGTCTGGATAGCTAGGCGTGAGTCTTTTATGCATATTTGGTTTTATACACCAGAAAATGTGTGATTTTTACATTTTCTGTCATTCGTACGTCGACGTGCTGAGTGCTAGTGCTGCGGATTGTGAAGTAAATCGCCCACTGTGTACCACTTCTAGATGTGGAACGGCTTCGTCGAGAACACCGAATCGTTGGCCATCTATCCATCCCACCTGCTACTACCTCTGGGTCGTCATCGTCGGTGGTGGCAACGGCTTCTGCCTATGCCGTCCGTCTACCCTTGCGACTGAGCCTTGAAGAGACCGCTGTTCTCCTTTTCCACCGTCTTCCTGTAGCTATTGACTCTGTCCGTCCTGTTCGATCTCTCAATCCACCCTCTCCTCGCTCTCTTCTTAAATTTGATTCCGCGCTCGCCCTGCATTACACTGAATCGGTACACTAATAGTCTAAGCTTATTTTGTAGGTTAAGTTTCCTTTTGAAGACAACTGCGGTGAACCAGCTATTGCTTATTGTCAGCGCCACTTATACACCTGCGTATTTCGTTCACTATTGACTGTTGAATGGGATGAAACATCACTTAACATCAATAATGTGCAATATTTTGGTTTTATTAAGTTGAAGTTTTGGATATGGCAATCTAAATTGCAATCATTATCTGGCTGACAGCCGATTTGATTGATGCAGCTGCCTAATACTTTACCTACTCAGGCACGGTTGTGAGTATTCATACAAACACAACGACTATTAAGGCTTTCTATTAACAGTGCTGTTAATGTCCCACTTTTTATTCTCCGGAGGAAGGGTTCTTAAATCACTGCTTTAAAGTTTTGTGGTTTTGAAGTAGCTGATTTCATGTTTCTTTAACACAAGGTGAAAGTTCGCAAGCAAGAGAAACGTCAGCGGATGCTCGACCACTACGATGAAATTCGTAGGGGCAGGGAAAAGCGGAAGGCACGAGAAGCCGCCAAGATTGGCGGTGCTTTTTCTACTGGTTTTAGTGATGAGGAGCAAGGAATCCTTTACGACGAAAATGGTAGTCTTTGTGTTACCTGGGCCTCCCCAATATCCTGTTTGTATTCCTGATTTTCGTGATTGTTTCCAGGAGTGAAGCTATCAAAGAAACGACTAAAAAAGCTTCGACGCGAAAAGCGTCGGACAGTTGTCCCTATGGTGGAATCGGCGTCGGACTACCCTCATGTGGTCAACTTTTCGGTGGAAGCCAAAGCCAAAGAGCAGGAATATGAGGCCATTGAACCCCTTTTAACTGTAGACGAATTGATGGGGATCACATCCACTAATGATTCTCAGATGGTCAAGTATATCCCTCTCCATCGACCGCGGGCCACGCCTCAGGAGTGGAGACGTGATGGTGAACATACGACTCTCTTTCTTCCCGATAGGGCTCGTGACAGTATTGAGAAAGGTAGCATGATTTGGGGTTGTTTATCTTGTTCTTCCTTAGTGGCATTGTGGCTCCTTGAGATTTCATCGAAATTGCAGTCCGATGGAAATGAGGATGCTATCGTCAGATGCAAAGTTTTTGATGATCTCTGGTCTAGAGGCTTTTACATTACCTGTTCTGCTTCCAAGATGGGTGGTGATTTCCTCGTATACCAGGGTGAGCCTCCTCTGTCTTGCTTCCATATTGTTTGACGCTAGATTAGAATAATAGACTTCGTATGCTTTTTGGTCTCGATTGCTCCAATGACTTGCAACTTGTGGCGGCTTCAAAGATGCCTGTTAACAGATGTGGCTTATTTTATCCGTATGCTATTGGTTGATATTTCGTCAGCTTCTTTTCTCCCATTACTGCACCCCTGCATTATCATCTCGCAGCCGTCTTCTGACTGACCGACGGAACAAATGGATTGGGAAATGACTTTTGTGCTTCAGCCCTAAGTTGACACTAATCTGAGGTATCTGCCATCTAATCTCAATAGGTTTATGATCTCTTAGTTCCTTCATCTCTCTCTTACTGCGTGTGTTGCGCAGTGACTGTAAAATGTGACTGAGATCGGTTGTGACTGCGTAACTTGGAGCATCCATGGCTACCTTATTAATCTGCGGGAACGCGAGGCAGGACGCCAGACCGCTGCAGCACTTAGAGGTGAAAAGGCTTGCGTGAATGGAAGAGAGAGAGCGGAGGACGGGAATAGCTACTTTTCTCTAAAATCAGCATCATCCACTCATTTGACATAAAGTAGGAAGTTGGAAAGTAAAGGTCTTTGTCTTTTATCAAAATGGAGATCGACTCGAATGTGTCCGGTGTGAAGTGTTGATTTTTTCATTAATTAAGAGGCTTAAACTGTCTGTTAATTCACTACGGAACTGCCATGTAAGTTCAAACGCAGTCAAATCAGAGGCTCGAGTAAGGAACGGTTTACCTTACTAGTTCCACGTCGTCATCTACCCTATTCGATTTTTTTCGTCCGCATCCTGAAGAGGCTTTTTACATCGCTCTGTATTTTCTTTGCAAATGCTGACTTACGTTAACTGATTACTCTAGGGAGACCCGCCTATTATAGTGCTGTTTAGAACTGATCAGCATATGCAGAAACAGTGGAACCGCGTTTTCACTTCCCTTATCGGTGTCACTGCTTTCGGATGTCTAAAAGCGAGTGATTCGGCTGTAATTGTAGGCGACCCACTATTTCACCACGCCAGTCATATAGTCGTCGCGAATCCACCCCAGGCGCCAATCTTTCTCAGCCGCCTCTCCGCCTCCTTGCGAATTGCCAACAGCGTTCGCAAAGTCCTCGTTCTTGCCACCACCGTCGCAGACGACGACAGTAGAATCGCCTACACTTCACTCTACTGGATGGGCTGCCACCCCGCGACTAGCGATGCATAACATTTCTGAGTAAATATACGGAATTTTGCCTTTCACCTCTTTCGCGTTTTGAATCGCATCCCCGCAGGCTTGCTGCATGCGAATGCTACTGAATCTCTATTTCAGTAGGCGCGATTTTGCTAATGGGTGAACAAGCAAACTGTTTTGGTTTTGTTATCTGCCCTTGTTGTTTGGAGCATGTATCCTTGTAAATAGAAAGGGAATACCAGTACAGCTTTATGTCCATCTCGAATAAGTAACGGTGAGTGTAATTAGAAGCTGCAATCCCATATTCTTCGTTTCTTTCATTATTCCGCAGTCTGCAAATGGAACAAGTAGTTAGTTCTTGTTTGTCCATTTTCTCGACGCGTGCTGCAGGTGGTCATTTTCGCTCGTTTGTATCGCGTTGATTCAAACGTTCGTGTGATAACAGCTGGCTGCTGTGTAGGTCACTGACCCAAGCTTGCTTTCTTACTTTTGGACATAGTACTGCTCTGCCTATTTGATATTTACGGTAAATTTTTGCCCGCATCTATTTTACTTTTTCACTTCTAAAATGTACGACTTACTGGTTTCTTTGATTCAGACGTTTCTTTTGTCATGCAAGTGTGTTGCCAACTTTGTTGAGTTATCGCATCTCTTCACTGTAGCAGGCAACAGCATACTGACTTAACAATTAGCTTTGTCTCATGCCTCTCTGGTGGTTGCCTCACAAGATGAGGTTAACCAAACTGACATCAGTTGGCATCTTTCAGTGAAACAGTTTGTTGTTGCCCTTGAGAACCCTTTCTTTTCGTCGATTCTGAATCTCAAGGAAATTGTTTCAGAGTAGTGCAAGTTGGAGTTGAATTCTATTGTTGAATTCATCGAAATCGCCACATTTATTGGAAATGTTAGCGAGCAGTGTCGGGAAGTTAGCCTGTGATGCGCTTAGACACCCCATGCCTCGTGAGGGCAGTTTTATGGTTTCTTCAGTGCGCTAGGAAACTCGTCATTTCCGGCGAGAAGATGGATGTGTAGGGAGGTATGAGTGTATTTTGTCCTTCTTTTCCACTTCTGCGCCACGTACCTCCAGACTGATGGGCCTTGGGGAAGTCTTGGCTGAAAGAGGCGGAAGTAACCGTTATTGCTACTACTACAATGACGATGACGGAATGTGCGAGGACGACTTCGATTACTACGAGGTGGAGGACGTTGAGGAGGGCTTTGCCGCCTTCTGTGGCAGCATAATTAGGCAGGTTTGGCCAAACATTTGGATCAGTCTTGTCGCTTGTTTGGTGTGGAGAGGCTGTCGAAGTCTGTTCCTTCTCCTCCTCTCTTTCGCTACGCCCCCTAATTATCGTAAGTTTCTTGTTGATGGAACTCTATGCCTTCTTATCCCGCATTTCTGAAACCAATTGACAAATCGTCCATTTCCCTCTATCTTTAATCAAAAGACCAGTTGAATAAAGGCAGCTACATAAGAGAGGACAGGTTTCGGAGTAGTTTTGTGATGATAAAGTATTTGCTTCCGTCTTTTATTTGTTCTACTGACACTTCTACAGCTTTGTGACAAACCTATCTGGATGCACGGCGACTATTGTTGCTCTCTTTAGTCGGTAGTAGGATTGTCGAAGGAGACGGTACCAGGGTAGCTGTAAGGGCTGGGCATCCTTTGCACCTTCTTTCCTCTTAAGTGTCGGCTTCATTCAGAAGTAGCGCAACTAATCTTTTAACGTGGGTTTTTTTCGGCAACCATTAGTGGAGCTGTCTGAGGCTTCCCTGAAGACGAAGATTCAAGAAGAAATGCTAGTTTATGTGTATTGGCAGGGTGGATAAGGACCATACCGTACACCAGAAGCAAAGAGGCTGTAGAGAGGTGCCTATCCAGCAAAAATGAAGACTTCGACAAACGAGGTCAATCCTCTTCTTGAAATACCTGGGACGGAGCTAAAACATTATTACCACTACCATTAATGTTACTTACACTGCATTTTTCTCTGTTCCTTTCTTTTGTTGTAGTCGTGCAGATGCTTGAAGTACTCCTCAACACTATCTCAATACTGCTTGGTGAGTTGAATCCGTCTTTTCTAGTACAAACAAATTAGCTAGGTCAAATCCTTCAACAGTAACGGTCCTTTTCTCCTTAACAATACACTCACTCGAATGTTTCCGTGTCGGTATTTATCGTTGTCTCTTAAGTTGCGAAGAAGGGTGCGCCTCACTGCTTTTGCCTCTCCGTGTTTTTCAGCTTGAGTGCTGCATCTATCCTCGCCAGGGACGTTGTGCGTCGTCAATGCTTCTTAATGAGATTAGAGTAAGGGTGGTTTACTTAAACTTTCACGAAGCATTTGCCATACAAGCAGTGATGCCAACTTTGTTTCCTGTGCCTTCGAGTTGATGCTCAAGCGCACTTAGCAAAATCGTTTCTTCCATTCAACTGGTTAGCTTTAGTTGCGCCTGAGACTCGATGTCCAGCCCTACCTCACCTCCTCCCATCCCGGGAAGCGATGCCCTGGTCTTAATCACGCACTATTATACCTTTGAGGTGGATGTACCATTAATTCCACTGTCTTAAATTCGCGACGACGATTGTTATGCACTTCAGGGGTTGTGCTTTTGCGCCACTTCTTTGGTGATCTTTACGTGAGACCTTGTGCCTTCGTCTTCACCGTTGGTGTTTTCCTGTCCTTTAACACTGGTGTTCGTGACACCGCAGCTTGTGGGAGCAAATCGCAAGAGACTGCGTGTTGGACCTCTGAAATGCTTTTTGTGACCATCTGCTGCCTCCTGCTCCAACTCTATTGGTGCGTTTTAAGTTTGAACTTTATCCACTCTCCTTCTTCTTCAAATGACATTGCCACACCTCACCGTTTTCTTTCAGTGAATTTTTCATGGATCCCCGTGAATGGCACATGATTCGGGGTGAGTATGCTTTGTGTTCCGCTTTGTCATTCAGCCTCTAATTTGCACCACTTAATTGTTGCTCCATTACCGTCCGAATTTTGGTTTCATCGTTTGCTCACTTTCCTTTTGCAGGAACTGCAATGTTATTGGTAATGAAGGCTATATCTGTGGCTGCATCAAGACGTTCAGAGCAACAGTCACTTAAAATGGGTTTTATACGACATTACCTGTCTTGGTGCGGCTATGCTTTTTCGCCAGGTAGTGTAATTTTTGGACCCTGGTTCGGTTTCGAGAGTTATTTACGCGCCACCCGGTTGATCCATCCTTCCCTTGGCAATCCGGTGAGAGGAGCCTCATTATGACTGCCTTTCTACCGTCTCCCTCCTACCAATTTGCCACACACTTTTTTTGTGGTCTTCCCTCTGTTAGTTTTGGAAAGACCTCCTTCGCACCGCGGTTTCTTTTGCCATTGCCATTGGATGCATCATCTACTCCACCTACCTTTCCTCCATCATCTACGCGAGTTATTTCCTTACCTTTCGGTATGGCGTCTATTTAGCCTCTGTTCTGTGTGCACTCCTGTGGATACCTGTGTTTGATCACCGTCTTTGGCTTTTCAGGTGGACAAATGCCTATGCTCAGTCACAGAGTTTTCGATTTAGTCATTACTTTGTCAGCTTCTTCAGTCAATCCCTCCACCAAGCTATTGGCTTTGCAGCTCTCACCTATCCCAACTCGTAAGTTTCCTTTCGTCTCCTTCTTGTTAATCTCTTTAAACAACCGTTCATCTGCTGCACGACACTTTGGTCTCTTGTAGGGGTCAAAAATACATGCTCGCGATGGTGACCAACCCGGTTTCAATCGAGCTGCCACGATCTCTGGTGGATGTGGTCGTTCACTGGAACTTTCCCATGCATTTCTGGCTTAAACAATGTACGTCAACGTAGAAGAAGTGAGGCGGTTTGATTGGAATTTGGCTTGGTGTGGGTGTGAGGTCTCTCCTTTGCCATCATAATTGGCTCAACTCAATTGTTGACACCTGTTGATGTTGGCGTTGTAGACATTTACAAGCCCACTCGGCGCTTCGGTCAACTGCAGGCTCTACTCCTTACGTATGCGTTCAGTTCATTGTTGCATGTGAGTGGTGGTTGCGGTGGTGTTTGTGTTGGTTGATTCCAATGCAAGAATGTGTCAAGTTTTGTGATCGTAGGGCCTCAACTTCCAGTTGGCAGCTGTTCTCTTTTCCATCGGAATGTATGCCTACATTGACTTCAGTAAGTGGTGTCCGTTGCACTTATTAGCTTTGACAGTGAGGTGGCGCTTGATTCCAACAGTATGGCTGCTTTGTAGGATTGAGGGAGAGGCTGTCCGCCCAATGGAGCGCTTGCATCGGATCACGCGCATGCGGAGAAATCTGCAACCACAGGAGCAAGGTAGGTGTTCTTCCATGGAAGTACTGCTTACATGTGCCTTGATCACTTCATCAATTGTGTTATTGACATTTACCCGGTGCAAGTAGGCTGAGTTCGCCCGGGAATGCGGGAAGAAGTTGAGATTTTGGTTACTAGCGTTCTATGTGCGCGGTCATGTTGAAATTTCTCACCTGCACTCATTTTCTTGCTCCTTCCTTTTTCATCGGAGATGAGATTCGAATGTGTGTATAGGTGGTGCTTCAATTTAATCTGCATCATCCTCACTCGGGCTGTCTGTTGGTATATATTGCTCATTTATTGCACGGTGGGCATCATTGAAGGACTACCTGGTCACATCCTGGTGGTGTTTCAGATTGTCTCGCTGATGCTGGTGTAGAATTTAGCTAATAAATCTTCAAGGCTCCTTCCTGTCTACTTGTGGCATAATCATCATCATCATGATGGGAGCAAGAGGGCCTCAAAGGGGTTTGTGAAGTCGGACGCTCATCGCGAAAAGAAAGTTGAGGATGAAGAAGAGCTGGCAGGATGCGTCATGCTTGCATATGCGATGCTAGACCATTCAGTGAGAAGTGCCGCCTTAAAGCTGGCCTTACCAACAAATTAGCCTTGATCACCCGCCACATCCCAACAGTTTGCATCAAGAAGAGATTACGGGGCGTTGAGCCAGGTAGATCTAGGCGACGTAGGGAAAATTGATGGTCTTGAGCCTCCTTCTTGTTGGGAGCCTGTGTAGAGCTACTCTGTCGTGTTTGTAGCGCTGATAGGGGGACTGCTGCCTCCTTTATCCAATGATCGTTTCGATGTCTGCTTTGCAAATGTTTTGCCTGTGTGACCCTCAAGATTTATACGATGACTTCTTTTCGTCAAAGGTTATTTTTTATTGCAGGCGAATAGGTTGTGGGTTCGTGGTGTGAATTTTCTCTTCGGCTGTCTGGCCATTTTCCACCTCGCCTACCTTGCCGTAATGTTCGACACGAGTGAACAGCAGGATGAGGTGTGTGTTGCCTATTCACTCTCCTCTACCTAGGGTGGCTGACGCATTTTTATAAGCCTATCTTAAATTCACTGTACCAGCGGCAAAGTTCAAATCTGTATCATTCACAATGTGTGAGGTTGTCATTTGCTTGCCTTTCAGGGTTACAACATGCTTCACGTGTTGGACAAGTGGTCACGTCTCAACTTTCTCAGTCACATCGTTGCTGGTGTAACGTATCTTCTCTACCTCCTCATTTGATGGACGCCTTTTGGGGCTTCCTCCTCTCCTCTCTTCTTTCTCTCGTCCTCTTGTCATCTTTTGCATACCTTTTTAACCATGATTTTCCCATACTGAAATAGGATTTTTCCTCCCTTGGTTTCATTGCGTGTGCTTGTCTGATTGGGTTGAGATTTGCTGCCTAATTGGAGTAGTGGCTGACTCTGGGAATGGGGTTTAATGGTGGGATAGGATGATTAAAAGATAGCATAAATATTGTGCATGCCAAAGTCCCCACCCCTCTTCTATCATCGGTGTCCAAACCGACCGCCAATGGGACGTGATGTGGTTCATTCCTTGGGCAAGTCAGGTGCCAAGAGAAGACATGAGTAAGTGCTGCAGCTGGTAGGCTTTACAGCTCTATTGCATTGAGCAACGATGTTTTAAATTGCGTTGTCTTTTCCAATTGCCCCAATCAGAGCAAGTCATATCAGTGGTTTTGAATGCTGCTGTAGTCTGCTATTTTGCAATGCTTGAGATCGCGTTGGTTGGACTGTACAATGTTTCGCCAGTCCAACTAACCATTTGAGTCAATTGGTGTCTCTGTAGCCTGCCGTCTGGTATGGTGTTGAAGGATAGCATTTTTGGAGGAGTTCTGCTTTTCGGTCGGGGGTCTCATTTCTCTGCGTAAAGCAGTGTTCCGCTTTGCCGTTATTGGTGGAATAAGTGGAATTGACTTTAAGGAAAGTTAAGTTTTACTGACTGCCAAATGAGTTGCTGTGCTGCTGATTGAAGAGTGATACTCAATGCACCCATCAACTTCGTTGCTAACACCTTCGAGTAAATCAGTGATGCACCATTCGCTCTCAACACGGAGGTGGGGGAGAATGCGGGAAGGCAGTAGGAGTAACGTTCGGAGTTTTGTCTTTTGGAAATTCTGCTTGTTAAGCTGTGTCGAGGGCACCCACCTTCAAGACACCTGTGCCATACAAGTTTTCTGCTTGGCTATTCACTAAAATACCCCTCCTAACATTGTATGGTCATGTTGACGAATTGAAGCGAAATTGCACTTCATTGGAAAGGCTTCAATAGCCACTCAGCAGGGATAGCTGTATTTTGGCTATGCTACCTGCCATCCTTATAAGTAGTTCAAAGTGGTTACTGTGCTGTGATTATCGTGGTTGATGCCCATGCCGACGTGGCAATGAAATCTACTACCTCTTTTGCTCTCATAGTGCCTCTCAATCACCTCCATCACGTGATGCACCCGACCTGTTCATCTACTTATCTTCCCCCACCCCTCTTCACCTACCTCTACGCAGCTCTGTCTCACACCACAACAAAACACAGGCATCATGCTCCATACGCCTTTGCCACTCTGCTCCATCCTGCTGCCTTGTCGATCGGTCCATACACTGCTCACGGTACTGTGGCACACCACTCGGCTGCATCAAAGTACAATAGCGGTCGAATAAAGGTGGTGGGAACAAGGGCGGTGAGAAGTGGAAGTGAAAGGAGAGGAAGAAGGCGAAATGTGAACTTGCTATCGTCCCCATCCGAAGTGCAAATCATATCCGCGCTACCATGAGACTGAGGCATTGTACTTCCTCCGCCCACACGAACCTTGTCCAGATGGTTCACGGTGATGTCGCTGCAGTTGTTATGATCCTGTCTGTGGAACACGGCGACAGGATGGAGCCAAACGCGGAAGTCACTCTCAGCTCTGCTATCGTGACTACTCCAGAGTATCCCACCCAAATTACATGCACCATGGATATGGCACAAATGGTGGATAGCAGGATGGAAGTGCTTCAAAATGTGAGTTTGGCATACCACTTGTAGCGCAGCGAGACTTCCCATCCAGTGGAAGAAGGCTTCAGTTTAGGCTGAACGCAAGCATGGTGGGGCGAGAAAGGACACGGAGTCTTAGCTTGGCCTGAATGCCAGCCCACGCGTACATGAGCGAGAGGAATACAGAAGTAAACGCCGAACACCGGGTGGTCGCATAAACAAGGTATAACAGCCAAATCAGCCTCAGGTGTACTTGTAGCTTACTCGTAGTCTCGGATTGTTGTGGTAGAGCAGTGAATTTGACTCGCAAGCCATTTGGTGATTATAAACGGAGATGCGGTGTCGTAAAGGCAAAACCTAACCCAACGGCGAGGTGTTACCTCTGAAAAAATGGACCATTTACTGGCCTGCGAATGCGCTACGTTCGCAACAGATCTGTACTGCAGGTCTGTTTGCTCATGCAGTTGTTCGGAAGTTGGCTGGCCTCAATAGGATGCCTGCGTTGCAGCTGCGCCTAGGAGACGATGCGTTTCAAGGTAGTCGAATATTGTGATTTGAATGTCTGCTAAGCACACCAGAAATGTGTTGAACTCGGCAAACTTCCACCACCCAAGATTTGCCATTTAAAGTAATCTATCCGATGCAAGCGTGCTTTACATTACAAATAACCTGTTCGCATATGAAGGAGTCGCTGAGGTAGGCACAAGAATGCGCAATCTGACTGACGGCACTTGCCTTACACTTGGTATAAATCGTTTAAAAAGGGGAAAGACAGGTCTGGATGGGGTTGAATAGGTTACACATTCGTTGAAGACTGACGTTGTTTAGCCGATCGCAGTGGGCTGCATTGTCTAGAGACAGCACCCACATTCCCTCGATTCGTAACGAAAGCACTGTGAAAAACGGTTCAAGTTAACTGCCTGTGAATGCTGCATACGAGGTGGCGTGCACAGTTGCCACGGCAGCGACTTGATCAAGGAGACTTCTTCCGAGGTCCAAATGGACCAGCTGCTGATGGACTTCATCAGGAGCACTACGAGGCCACTGTCAGCCCCCACTAGTTACTGGCAGTTGCGAACGCCGCCAAGTGTTCTTTGTAAATCGGACATGAAGACAAATTTTTTCGCATGGATTTAAAACAAGCGTCGGTATGATCGCACTGGAATGTTGCGAACGGCCCATCAATGGCAAGAAGGAAAGTCCTTTTGGTCCGATAGGCCTCTGTGAGGCTTCACCTACGCACTCTGTATAAGGCTAAGCTGTTCTTCGCCAAGGTTCTGAGATGAAGGCGATCAATGTCATCCAGAATGGATTGTTTACTGAGCTGTGCTTTTGCAGTTGTTATCGAAGAGGAGGACCTATTTTCGAGGCCGATGCAAAGGCAGTATCGGCGGATGGAAGTGGTGGCATGCACCTGACGCTACGCATTGAAGTCGATGCAATTCCATTTTGTTTCGCTTTGATCGGAGCCTCAGGTGTCATTGTGATGGAAGTGGATGAAGTACTAAGCGCCTTTGAACGTGATGACAAGTTTGCCTGTAGGACGAAAATTTTCGCCTGCGAAAATCCAGTCGTCGCGGTTCATATCAAGTACGGCGGAAGGCAACTGCGGAATGGAGATTTGTGGTCGCTTTACACTGGCGTAAATACTGCTTCTTAGTGATTCCACCCACCAAATAACCACCCCAAAACTTTCTTCTATGAGGTCAGTAAGGAGATGCGGGAAACGATAAAACAAAGAGAGACTTGCCCTTTGCGTGTTGTATGCATTGCTCACTTTTGGTATCCCAATCTTCAATGGGTAATCAGTGGCGGCAGATCTCCATTGGCATCATTTTAATGGTGCTTGCATTTGGATGCCTTCCAGAGGGCGGACGTAACCAGTGAGAGCATCGACGCCTTGGATAACTGTCTTCCACTCGCTACCGCCTTGTTGTTCACGAACTCATCATCCATCCATAAGTCATGCCGTCGGTTATAGCAGCCGATAGGTGGAGTCTTGGTCGACCCACCCGAACTACAAAAGGGGTTGTGGTAGGCATCAAGCCATTGGACAATCATGGATTGCGCTGATTGGACGATCAGTAGTGTTGAGGGCAAATTGAATTCGCCTTGCATGGACAGAAATCTGTTCAGCTAATTGGATGATCTTGTCAGATTGTTCTGACCACGTGGGATGCTGTGTTCGGCATGCAAGTACTTTACATTGCCGATTTGAATAGACGCTGAGGCTGCTTGACGAGGCTGTTCGCAACTTCATTCTCTTCGTTGCGTAGCTCGTCGACTGCCAAATTTGGCTCAAACACTTCAACGTCTCTTTACTCACAATTGACTACTATGTCACATCTATTTACCACGGCCATTGAATAGGCCTTTGCCACGACAATGAACCCTCGTATAGCACATCCATCCACTTGCGTTTCACCATTCGCGCAGCTCATTTGGAGGCATGATACAGCAGTTTGTGGCAATTGGTCACCGTTTCCGCATAACACCATTTGTTGAGGGCATTCAAATTCGTACCGCATGACGGTGGTAGGGATGAGGGACCAGTGCCGCTCAGGTCCGCTCAGCCGCCGAGACTCACTAGCGCAGACGTGCAATGCAAGCCTTTGTGATTAAGGCACGATGAAGCACGACATCGAAATTCCCACACTTTGTAATCCTGTTTGTTGTACGCTCTTCGCCACACCTCGAGCAAGGGGAGAGTTCAGAGTATTTCAACGCATTCGAATAATAATGTCTGGACGCCGCAAGTAGTGATTCAGGCGGCTGGTGTAAAACGAATTGTTGCACCGCATCTCATTTTACAACCTGTCATATCACACCTCATCAGCGAATGACACGTCAAGTCGCACATCACGATGCATGAACTTCTCCGACTTCATTCTGACAATCGCAAATACACGTAAACTAGTGTGCACTTTTGACCTGTTGTTAGCTTTCCTACACCAAATTCGCCTTGCTTTGTCGCCAAAAAAGTGCTGGTTATTTTGGTGTTGGGATCAATTCTCGGGACTTGTAGATAGCGTGTCAAGTTTGGTCGCCTTTTTTATGCTACGGAGAGACGACTGCATAGAGGAAGTTGTTTGACAATACTATTTTGGTTTCGTTTCGAAGTTGGAGAAGAAATAAGCCATTATTGCTTTAAACATTCGAGGGTAAACGGCAACTGATGCTAATGAGTCGATGCCTCTAAACCCTTCGAAAGAATATTGAGCGAAAATACTTCACATTACCTCATCGGCTTCGTGCTGTCATTTGGTGAGATGCCTACGATACGACGATGTGGCGATGTGGTGGCGATGCGGTGATGCGGATGACGTGGAAGGTGTTCGGTGTTTGCGGGTGTTTTGGGGTGGATGGGAGAAGGTGGAGTTACGGAAGTGTGGCGAGGCGACCGCTTACACAGCAATTAGATAGACTACTACTTGACGCCGTGTCTGTCCATATTCTCCACCCTACTCGCAGGTGAATGTCGATAGCGCCCACTATGCATAATGTTTCGCGTTGCAAGTGAAGAACATCGGACCAAGAATATTCTCCCTCCCCCCCCC